GCTTGATTAGCATTTTCACTAGGGTATGCATGCGTAATGTACATTATATTATTGATATTGATTAAAATAAAAGACATACAGATGTATAGTTTTTATAAATAAACACTTTCTAATGAATTTTGTTGCAAAATGACTGATTAATCGCATCTTTCCCAACAATCACTCCTTAATTACAATTTATTCGAATATATCTGGAATATTGCTGATCCATCGCGACTAATCATTACATCTTTCGAATATGAATATTAATCGTCAAAATTGAGTCAACTTTGACAACGTGGAGAAGTCTGTCAGGAAGTATTGTTTTTCACATTTTTTACCTCAAAATTTTTTCTCACCTATACTTCTTCTAAAATTCTAAAACATAAATCAAAAGATATAAAATTGTGCGGAAAACTTCGTAGCATGTATTTGAAATTTCAAGGAAAGCTTAACGGAGAAATTTTTTGCTTTTTGACGTCTGTAGATAATCGATTAACTAGGTAATCATATTTTAAATTTTGTGCCGACCAAAAAAAAAAACAAAAACAGCGGCATTGTAGAGTACGAAAACGCTCTATCTCATGAGACAGTTTTTAATGTGTTGAAACATATCTAGAAAAAAAAATGAGAAAAATATTTTATTTCGTTTATTGTGTACCATTTGTGAAGTATAAATATTCAAATAAGAAATACGTCACAGTAATATACACAAATCAAGATAAGATAAATGTCACAGATACATAAAATGATTCATCATGTCTATTTATTAGTAGATTTTTTTTAATGTTAGAGTTGGTGGTAGTGGGTTGTAGTCTCTACATTATTGTTGCTTTAACACATAATAAATATCTTTCACTAAATATAAAAAATAGAAAAGAACAAAAACAGAACAAAAATTGAAAAAAATTCAACCTAAATTTGATATCAAAGGACTAAAGCTCTATTTATCCTAATGAAACATTTAATTATTTACTTCATGGTTTTCTCCGTTCTCAAACAATTTCTGATGATTATATTCCTCTTGTTACTTTTGCTTTATGTAATGTACATTTTGTTCTATGGAATCGAAGAGGAACAGTTTACGTTATTTAAAAAGAAAAAACACCTAATTAAAACTTAGTGGAAAGAATCTAATTGTTTTTTTTTTATCTTTTGATATTAGATACTGGAAAAAACATCGAGCGACAGATGTGATGAATGATGTGCTTTGTGATGATGGACAATAATTTATTTTTCTTAATCAAATATTTAAGATTGTTGAACAAGTATTTCGACTAACAACAACAGAACTGAACAAGTAAAAGTCGATACTAATGTTCCAGAAAACTATACTTGCCAAGCTCTAAATAATAAAACAAAAAAAATGCTTGTAAAAAAAAGTTATTATTACACTTAATCTAGATCAAACGCATCAAGAACCCAGCAGATTAAATATTACAAGTTAAGATTTATAATAAACTATATAATTTTATCAGAAAATTTTAGATATTATATCAGATAGTAAGACTAAAGTATTTAATTTTAGTAATTATTTCAATTATTGTTACTAATGATATGAATCCTCTAATAATAGTAATATAAGAATAATAATATCAACGAAGACATAATATAGTTAACTTACATTCGTTAGAATTAACATAATGTAGTTCTGTATTACTTATTGTTCTTCTTCATGCAGATGAAATAACATTTTCAACATAAATTCCTTTGACATATCTTTTAATACTTGTTAATAATGATCACAAAAAATGTCGCTGATTTCATTTGCTTTAGAGGTAATTCTAGTTTCACTCTTTTATATGTTTTATACTATTTGAATAATACGATAATTTTTATGCATATATATATATATATATTTATATATATGTGGTAACATAAATTAAAAAATTATCATTGCTATTAAAATAACATTTAGAGGATAGGGTACAAAGTTCAAGTCTTAGGTTTATTATTTATGTTAATTTTTTTATCATGTATAATTAAAGGATTTTTACATAGTCGGAGAATTTTTATCGAAATCTAAGCCGATGTACATTATTTTAAAAACATCGAAGATATAAATTTAAACCAAATTTAGATAAAACTGGCATGACAAGTTAAGTAATAGATGTTTAAGAGAATAGATATTAGATTAGTTGTATCATTATCAATAACAATACAAAAAAAAAGTAACGTTATATCTCAAATGAAACCTTTTATGAAAAGCAAATATGACTAACCAAATCAAAGTGAAGATCAAAACCGTGAAGGACAAAATAGCCTACACAATATGTATCATAAACCGTCTTTTGATTATTTTGATAGTCGATTCGAAAAAGAATGCTTGTTAATGAATATCGTCCTTGATTTATATGATTGACTTGTTTTTCTTTTTCTTATTATAATGTATCGTAAGTTTAAGAATTGTAATCAAATACTTTTCGAATGATTGTAATAAGAAAATAAGTAATTATGTACCAAAGTCAAGTTTAAGAAAGAATGACGGCAATACATAGCAATTTGATTTTAGCGATGCGTGAACATGATTAATAATGATAATTATCTTGGTATTTTCGAACAAGTTATAACGAAATGATTCGAGTCAATCGAAATCATTTCGTTACAAACCTCAATAAATAATAAATTAGTTCATTCATTAAAGAGAAAAACTTAGTTTTTTTTTCTTTTAATAATACTTCTATAATAACAAACACAATTTTTAAATTTTTACAGATTAAAATAGTCTTTAAAACATCATGAATCAATAAGGGGAATCTTTTTTTTTCTCGTAAATAAACAAATTCATTTGTATAAATCAAGAAATATGCATTCAACGAAATATTTGCCTTGTTGACAATATCAATTCTTTAAATATATAAAGAGAAAGAAGCAATCCTACGATTGTATTATTTTGAGATAAATATACATCAACGACCTTGCCTGGCCATATATTTTTTGATTTTTTTTTTTACATATTCATAGATTATTAAACAAAGGGTATGTCATTGCTTATGGTTATTGCAATTTGATTTTTGTTTATGTTGATTATTGTGTGAGTCTGTACAAATGACAAGATATATTATGATGTGTATTTTTCTATCATATGTTGTTCTCTTATGATCGTCATTTATTCTACGCATATATTTACATGATTCGTATTTTAAATAACTGTATTATTTAATTATTTAGTTTGGTATTGCATGTTGATTTCAGTTTTACCACATAACCACAAAACATATTGGCTTTATCGCAGGTTTCTTTTTATTCTATCCCTACCATTTCATTGGTATTCGTTGAAAAAAATCCACAAAAAAGAAAAGAAAGGTATATCCAAGGCTAGGGTTGGTCATGCTTCATCGCATCTTACTTATATAGAAACACAAAAAAAAAAGAGAAAAAAAAATATTATTTTAGTTATTTAGCCAACCCATCTTAAAGAAAAAGATGAGCTATATATAATATATCATTATAATACATACACTATTCGCTATTACACTTATAAATAGGTAAATACAAATATATGTTTATTACAATAAATTATTGTTGATCATTAGGTAGCCGTCATTATTTATTTTTCTCACTTAGAAACTTACTAGTTGACTAACAAACGTGAGGCTCAGATCGAAGGTACCAAAGATTGATAGCATCTTTTGTAGGCATAGGTTTACCTTTTACATTACATTTATAGATGTGAGAATGATTATGGCACTAACTACTGTTCTTCTTTCTAATTATCTACGAGTACCATATATCATTGCTACATCCAACGTTTAGATTAGTGTTTTGGAGACATTATCAGCTGTTTTTAATGATGGTTATAAAGCATATTACCGATATTTTTTTATGAGATATCCTGATATTATACATTGAGATGGACGCAGTATTTATCGTTCTGTCATCCAATCAAGTATATCTATCTCGAGTTATTTTTGAGGATATATGAATGATTCTTTTTTCAAAGACCTTGTCAGAAAAAGGTAGATATTTTTAAATTATGTTTTTTTATTTTTTGTTATTCCTATATGATAATAACGATACGGTATAAAATAAGAAGCTAGAATCCAGAATAATCATGGCATTGACAATAATTATACCTTTTGTGTTATCATAGTAAGTATCATTAGTTATAATGAGTGTGAAATGTTTGTTTTTCTTCTCATTATTATGATGACGTAGGAATAGTAAAAAAAATTCAATCTTTTAAAATGAAAAAATGTAAGTAATTCGTCAACTATATACGTATGTATCTATTTTGTTTTGCGTCAGATATATCTTCGTGATGGTATCATCAACCTATTCATTTCATATGAAATGTTTTTTTTGGTCTTTTTCCTTGTGTTTTTTTTTCTTCATCTCTCTGTCTCTTCTATATTCGCTGCATCCAAATCGATACGCTTCAGGTAAAATGCAAAGGATAGGTAATAGTTGTCATCCCATTTCGCTTCATTTAAGTATTTCTTCGTCGTTCTACTTCAAATACACATACCTTGGAATAGGTATCCATTCGGTATTATTAAGAACTATGATTGTCACCATTGTTTGTTAATAATGATTGGAGAAAGACTATATTTTATCTGTCATAATCGGCCCACGTATATATTTATGTTTACGTGTAAGTGCGCTTGATCGAAGTGCATGAAGGTGAGTTAATAGTTATACATGAATGCCAATAGATTTTTTTTCCTATCATTTTTGGGTTTATTATTCATAGAATGACGACTGTATGGTGAGATAAAAGTGAATATCTACCGATATTCTCGATATATATATATGTATATATATATGTATATAGGTATAGATATATATGTATACAGGTATAGATATATATGTATATTGACAATAGATGTAGTGAAACACTGCAAAATAATGACTTCGAGCACTATCCTCGAACATACAATGTTCGAATAATGAAAATACTCAACATAAGAATCTATGGAGAAACAAGAATACTTTATGAATATGCTTGTTTTGTTGTTTTTTGTAGATTAATATTTGGGCTGGTCTTGCCGTTTACTTAATTCTATTATTGCTGCTTGATAATGATTGATCCGCGCTTTGCCAATGCTGGCGCTGTTCCTGTTGATGCTGGATACGGTGCACAGGAAATGCCCCCTCGTCGTCATCGTCATCGTCGTCGTCATCGTAAACACAAACATGGCATTGTTGGTACATCACCATTAAGTCGTGATGAATCAATACATAGAGTAGATCCTAGTCAGTATCAATTGCATAGAGTGATCTTGATTCTAAATAAAAATTCAAGAAAACTTTTAAAAATTCTTTGATTATAGCTGAAGGTGGATCAGTAGGTACTGGATATGGTGTACCATATGGTGCCGCCGGTGCAGGTGGTTTTTATCAACATCAAGAATATACGAGTACCAGTGGTGAAGCTGAAAGAATACCTGAGTAAGTTTAATTTTAATAGAATTTTATACATCTAATATTTCTTTTTTGCCTTATCGAATATATTTTTTTTCTTATTTGCAAGGCAATTAGTTGGTCAACGTTCTTCGAGTGCATTAAATAATGAAGTGTCGCATGTACGCCCATCGATTTCACCAGTTGGAGCTGAAGCCAGACCCAGATATGAATCTCATCATCGACATCATCATGGTAGCCATGGTCATCGACATCATCATCATCATCATCATGGTGAGTATTTTAGAAACGGTTAAAAAACATCAATTGTGTTATATTCAAGGTCATGTAACCACTTATGTTGATCATGGTCATGGAAACGACGATATAGTGTTTATTGAACGTGGTCATCAAAGCCGTTATAATCAAGGACCACCTCCTGGCTTTGAATTCAAGGGCATGATACAAGTTCAAGGGTCTGATAAAGTGATTCGTCGACGCCATCGTAGCCAAGGTACTGGTACTAGATATATACCACGACCTGTACATGTAGGTCCTTGTCCACCTGGTTGGCAACCAGTGAGTATACCAATTGGTTCTGGTTATCAATGTCCGCCATGTCCACCTGGTACTGCTTTATACACTGGACAAGTAGGTGGAGGTTATGGTACTCGTAAGTATTTTGTTGTACATCTAAATCTTTTATTTTATTAATATATCTTGGTATTTAATCATTAGTTGGATCATATGGTGGAAGTGGATATTATAATTTAGGATCAAGTTATCCAGTACCATCGTCTGGTCAACTTGTAGCTGATTATATTGTTGAATCGAGCACTGGTGGCTATGGCTATCCTGGTGGCTATAGCTATTCTGGTGGCTATAGCTCTGGTTCAGGTTTCGCTAATGAAGGAGACGAGTAGGTCATCAAACGTTTAAATATCGGATAGAATTATAATTTCTATTCTGCTTTTAATCATAGTGATTACTTCGAAGAACATCACTCAGGTCGACCAACAATTATTGAAGTTTGGCAAAGACGACCCAAAGTAAGAATTTATAATTATAATTAGGAAATAGACAGAATGAAATCTTCTTTTAAAGTCTCCAGCAGTCGTAATATCACGTTCTTGTTCTCGTTCACGTTCACGAACACGAAGTCCACAACATGCTACAGCAATTGAACTTGAACGACTTCGTAGCGACATTCTTATAGCTATCGAGTAAAGTGTTTACAAGTTTCACGCTGATTTTTTATTACTTTGCTTTCTTTTCCTCTTCGTATTAAAACCTATGTAGACGTATATCACAAGGTTTCAGTAGCAAAATACACTTGATTGGAACTGACGGTGGTAATCAAACTCAACCAATCCGTGAAATCATAGAAAGGGAACGAGGATCTGGTGAAGTTCGAGTGATTGTACAACCTATTCAACCGGTCTTCTACATGCCACGACAACGTAAAAAAAACATATTAATATCTATTTCATAATTTTTTTTCTGTTTTCACAATAGCTGATGTCACGCCACATATACAACCTATCATACCAAGCATTCTTCCTCCTGCTCCTGTTCCGCAACCGCCACCTCCGCCACAAGTTGTCTACGTTCCACGTAATGTTTACGTGCCTGTCATTAAACCTGTCTTCGTTCCACGAGAACGTAAGATCTTAATTCTTATGATACATAAAGACAACTTTTAATTCATTTTTCGTTAATAGGTGTTGTTGTACGTCCTCAAGTCATACATGTAGCTCGACCTGTACTTGTTGATAGACCAGTGCCAGTAACACAACGACCAATCATCATTGATCGTGAACGACCTGTTCCTGTACCAATACGTACTGCTGGTGTAGCCAAAACAGGTGGTGCTAGAACAATAAGAGAAGAATATGTCTTTCGAGACAATTTACCTGTCGCTTACGGTGGTCGTTGTCCTGAATATGCTGGTGGTATTAACTATGGCTATATGCCAACACAACAGGAGCATCAATATGCTACCAGCTCAATTCAGGAAATATTCAATAACAATCCAGTACCAGGACCAGTATATAATGTAACCGCTCGTAATACATATGGATACACTCCAAGGGCTGCTCAATTCAATTTAAACCAAGGTAGCGGAGTATATGGAACGTACACTGATGTAATTGGAACAAATAATGCATCAGTAATCAATGATGGACTACTTAATTGTACAGGTCCAATTGAAGTACTTGATACGACTATTAATCCTAATTGGCAAAGAACAGATCAAACAGCATTAGTACAACGTTTTGGACGTCCAGCCTATGATATTGTTCAAAGATCTCAATCGGCGGGTGGCTTTGGAACAGGTTCTGGTGTAGTAATCAATGGTGGTGGTGGTTTTCTGGCAAACAATGCTTCATACACGTCACTTCCGATTGGTAATATAAACAATCTGGGAGGTATTGTTCAAGAAGTTACAGCACCAATCGATCCATGCATCAATTATTAAAAGTTACAATATCTTTTTTTTCTTGTTTATCATTTGAACATTTATCATCAATGCTGTATTTTTGTTTCCATGGACATGATCTCCATGAGAAAATATTCAACCGTTACTTATCATATTAATTGCCGTTCTTGCTTTACATTTATAGCTTTTAGACTAGAAGAATCTTTTTTCTTCTTTGTCACCGTTTTAAATGCTTCTATTGTCTTGTCTGTTGTCTTGTTTATTGTTCGTTTTAAAGTACCTTTTATTCATCGAATACTTTGATTCTTGCTATTTCTTCTTTTCTTTTTCTTCTATTTCAAAATAAAAAAAATATAAAAAATTAAATTTGACAAATCTTTTTGTGTAATAGAGTAATCGAAAGTGCTTAGATAGGATCAAATATTCTGCTCATACTACTGGCAACTTTATAGATCGGTTAATATTAAAAAGTCATGAATAAATAGTAGAATGTTTCGTCTGTAATAATATATACATTAAATAAATCTTTGTTCTGATATTCTTTCAGATATAATACAATTTTTATTTAAAAAAAAATTGAAAAATGTATAATGAATTTAATTGAGGATATATTCAAATTCAGATTATTTTAGGAATAGATGCAATGACAAGTTACAAAGAACTTGCAACAGCATTGAGATCAAACATTATATTATACTCACCAATTGCAAGATGAACAAAGGGTTTTCATGAAGGAAGAAAAGATGCTAATGATGATCTTCGATATGATCGTTCAATCCATGTAAAATAAAAATTAGACGAATAATTAGATTAAAATCAATTATAATCATATACCTTTACTCGATTTGTAATCGATTACAATCGACTAAAAGTTCATAAAAAAAAATTGGTTATAATCGATGAAAATCTAAGAAAATTGATTAAAGAGTTTGCCATCTATTCTGAAGGAAAATTAATTAAAGTCGATAGTTTTTATATAATTCTTAATCGATTAAAATCGAAAATAATAGGTATAATCGATGCAAATTAGGTTTTTTGGAATATTTTTGATTATAATCGATTGCTAATCGATTAAAGGTGTATGATTATAGGAGATTTTTAATCATTTTTTGATCGATTTTAATCTGATTATTTGTCTAATTTTTTTTTATATAGGAATTTCCGAGCTGACAAATGTAGATCTTGAATTGGTGCGATAGATCATCAACAATGCTCTACATTCAACTTATGATGATATTATAGCTGAAATTTCTCTTTCTGTCTCTCTCTCATAGTACAATACAATGAATTATTCATGATTGTCTCACGATGAGTACAACTACATAAAGTTGAGTGTTTCCTCAACTGAATTATCAACAAAAGAAAGAACAATATAGTATTTGTTGTGGGAATTCGAAGATTTTTCATGATGAATAATGATTATTATATATTATGATTACAGACGATAAGACATGGATTTATCATAGATAGATTGAGCGCAAGTTAACTAACACAAGCTAGATTAATGAAAATGAATCATCAATCATAATATTCATCGAAATAGATTTGAAACAAAGGTATTGTTTTCTATACTCCTTAAATCAAATAGTTCTGTTCTTATAAATAGTATCGACAAAGCCAAGACAATAGATCACAACTATTATATTGGAAATTATCTCGAACCGATTGTCAATGAAATTTGAAAACAAAGAATATCATTAGATGCAAAAAGTATAAAATTCCTCCATGACAATGTTCGATCTCATACTTATTCAGATGTTATTAATTATTTGACACAAGAATGTATTAATATTATTTCACATTCACTGCTTTTACTAGATTTGGAAACATATAATATTTAACTAAATGATTACATAAAGTATAATTTAACTGATCAAATAATTGAAAATTCATTGGTTTGTACGGTGTCAAAAATAGTTGTGAATATTTCAAAAGTAGAGTTTAAAGAGCTGTTTGACAAATTATTAGAAAGGATGAAACTTTATTTAAATAATTATAGTGATTATTTTGAATATGTAATAAAATAAACTGAAAAATATCTGTCTATTTTTATGCTTTTATTAAGTGTGTCAAAAGTTTTGGTCAACCGTATCTTATGATAAAAAATGAGAAACTATTATCGGTTCATTGATCTGTATTAGAGAACGTCCAGAACGATATTATTTGTCCTGCTCTGCATTCTGCAGGACATTGTCACTTAGTCATCGAGCTTCGCACGAAAAATGATTCCTCTAAGTACGAGCTACAGGATGATTTCTTATTTGCTTTTTTGACAAGGATATTAAACTTGTCTGTACATGTGATACGATGTCAAATATCAAAGATCTTCTACTGATACGAAAATCATTTACAATCATCACGTCAATAAACATTAGCACATGTTTTTCAACGGAAATGAAATGAAAAATAAAAAAAAACATACTTGACGTCCACAAGGTGAGCAAAACAATAATAAAACAAACATAGATAAACAGGATTTAAAGTGTAATCAATATCAACAGAAGGACAATACTTCAAGGACAGGGTTTGGTTTTATTGCTTTTTCTTGAATTTCTACTCATAAGAACGAATAAATAATGTTGTCAATTCGAGTTGATGATACATATATTTGTTTTTGAGTAAATAAAAGGGGAAGGAAAACAAAGCGATTTCTTGATTTCTATCGCTAGAAATCAGTATTTATTTATTCATCGTGAATCAATAGGAATTATTAGACATGTTTAAAAATGAATGAAAATCAGGACATATTATTAAAAAACAAGAGCAACTAATAGCAATATTGACAACTATTGAAAATCGAGAGATACCATTACAAATCACTAGAAATCAGGGCTTTACTTTTAGTGTTAATCAAGGAGATTTTCAAAGAATTCGAGTGATTTCTCATACTTTCTAATGGCTTCTCCTGCTTGTTTCTTATACGTTTGACCAAATCAAGTGATTATGCGTATTCTTAAAGTATTGAAATGATTTCTAATAATTAATCGCGTAGAAACTGGATTTTTTCTCCTTACGTAAATGTCAATCTAGTTGAAGATCGGTATAATGTGCAGTATATCGGTGATTTTTTTAAAGTGTTGTATCAAAACGAGTGAATATTTTCGAAGTTTATTGAAACTGACAGAATTGAGCCGATTTTTGCAGTTTGCATTAGCCACAGCGTCCAAATCGACCTCGATCATCAGTATAATTCTTAATAATAGACGGTGCTGAAAAACTTTTTATCAGTAAAAGATATTCTTGAACTGTTTTCATTTCGATAAATGTAAATCCATTCTAAGAAACAATTCGAATTCGGATAGACAACACTCTGCAACCGTTTATAGATGGAACTGAAATTTGTAAGTTCTACCGGCAGTTTTATGAATACTGCAGAATACCGACGATAGTGCGAACAACTGCACCACATGGAATATTTCATTAATCAAAGATTTTCTATTGAAAAGAATCATATCAAATTATAAATTTTTTCTATTATAAACATTATTTTGCATCTATTGAAAGAATAAAAAACAAGCGCTTTCGATCACCTAGATTTCGTGTTTTTTGTTGTGGTTGTTGTTGTTATTTCTTTATTTTTACCTTCGTTATGGATCAAAAAAATTTATTGTTATCAAATAGTAATACTGTTGATGGACTTTTATCACAAGATTATATTGTTGGTGTAATTTATGATAAAGTCAAAGATGTATATTTAATGATCAATTATCGACAACGTGGTGGCCTGTGGTTTCCATTTAGTGAACGCCGTTTTAATGAAACATCATTCCAAACAATTAAACGATTAATTGATCCAATTATTATTCATGATTCTGAACAAATACAACTTGTTAAAATTTGTTCAACCAAAACACTTCCATTTAAAAGTCATGATGTTCTTTTTTATACTATTATACCTAAATCAAGTACTATAATGAATATTTGGTTAAATGGAAAAATTGATGGGATTGATTTTGAACGACAATTAAATACTTTACAAGATAATGCTATTGTTTGGTTAACAACAATTCAATTAAAACATATAAGTAAATTATCACGATTATTAGGTATGGAACCATTATCATTAAATAAACAATTTAAAGACATATTTCATTCAACAATAAAATCAAATAATATAAATACTGCTGTTATATTTGAAGAAGTTAAAATTCCACGAATTGAATCAACATCAAAAACTTCTCATAGTAATGCTGCTGAAACATTACTTATGTCAGCTAAATTTACATCAACTATTCAAGAAAAACTCTATGAAGAATATCATAATGCTGTATTACCGTCTGATTATCTTAATTTAGAAACATTTAAACAATTAATTTTACGTAAAGGTTTAGATTCTCAACATATCAGCGATTATTTTCGTGCGTTTGATTCAACACAACGTAATTATTTAACATATCTCGATTATTTACTTGGATTAGCTGCACTTGATCCAAATACACAACATGGTGGTGTACCAGCTGAACAGCGTTGTCGTTATATATTTCGTTATTATAATATAAATAATAATCAACGTATGACATTTGATGAATTTAAATTAATGATTAAAGATATACATAAAAATAAAGGAGAAAATTTATCAAATGATACATTAAATGATGAAGCTTTAGAAATGTTTCGTTCGTTTGGGTTACGATCATTGGATCAAACATTAAGTTTAATGGATTTTTTATCCGGTGTTGGTCAACTAAGATTTCGTGGTACATCGGTTCTTTTTCGATTAAATATGCCAATAAGTGAGCTTTTTCAAAGATCATTATTATCAGTAACACCTAATACATCAGTGATACCATCTTCAACTTCAAACATAATAACATCAAATCGAACATTAAGTACAAAGTCAATGACACGACGATCTGGCACACAACAACAAATATCAAATATAGCTAGTGATGAGTCTCATCCATATGAAATTGCTACACATATTATTAAAGTTTGTTTATAACTAAACAGAAAAAGAACTCTATCTTTAATTAATAAAAATTTTAGGTAAAAAAGACGGGTGTTGTTGTTAATATAACATCATTATATGATTTGGACGTAGCAGGAGCTATTAGTGGTAGTACAGCTTTATTTTTTGATGATGATAATGGAAAATTTGATCGAATAAATAGTCAAAATTGTTTTAATCAACGTACACATGCAAATGAAATGCTTCATGGGTTACGTTATTTTGAACGTGGAGCTAAAGAAGGTTATTCTACAGAATGCTTTATAAGTCTAAACAAAAATGAAAATGTGAATAACTCCTCAGTAATTTTAAAGATTTTCATGCTTTTTACAGTTTGATCACATATTCGTTAAAGTGTTCAGATAAAATGTCTGTGTTCACAGGCAGTGCAAAGTGGTCAGAGCAGACAGGGAAATATGTTCAAAGTGGGAGAAACGTGTGCAAAGTTGTTGATATTTTCTAGCAGTAGGGGAGGGAGGCTGAAAAATCAGCAGAAAGCGCTTTCATTATCAAACTGTTGGAAGCAATGACTAGGGTAAAGAGAGGAAGAATGAAATAACTATGAGTCAGCCTCTTATACAACAGACGATCTACTACCTACCTGTTCCTTCGCAAATCTTATTTACCTGGTAATGACATTGTTTGCTTTTGGTTTCACTTCAAGCCAGAGAGAGAGAAAGAAATGGTGTTTCAAATCTGCTTTCTATTCAAATTTACCACAAAGCTGTGAAAAATTAAAAGTCGCCGGTATTTCTCCAATATAATATTCGACAAACTTCTCCACTACTGAAAATGTTTAATAGACATGTAATCATATTCGTTGATGGTGAATGAAAATTTTGTCAAATTCTAGTTAGTCAAACTCAAATTTTTCGTATAGTTTTTCTTCACTTGTAATGAAAGCCTCCCTCCACTTCATTTCATTGTCAATGTATGATTCAATATTTATTTTAACATTTTTTAGACAACGTTTCCTCAATCTACAGTGGACGTCAAAAGTCTCGCACCACTTTTTTGTTTTGGTTTGCATTTCAAAAATATACGACATAAATTCAAATTTCTTTTTACCTTACGATAGCGGAGCTCGAGTACTATATGTATGCTTGTGTTTGAAATGAATAACCTTTGAATCGAAAACACAGAAAAAAAAACAAACTTCAGTGCTACGACAAAAACTACCCAAAAGACGACAAATTGGTACGATTGTTATCAGTTATAGAAGTTTCACTAAACTTGGAGTAATACGAAAATCGAGTAAGATTTTGTTTGATATTTTTATGAGTCGATAGATCTCAACGAGCTCTACAAAATTGTCTATATTAAAATTTTTTAAAACCTTTTCTGGGACAAAAAATTACAATAAAATTGTATTTTTATGCTTTTCTGGTATAAAAAAAATTCTCGACTTTTCATATAGAACAAATAAAACATGCGATTAGTTTGAAATCTTTTTATCTCAGAAAAAGTTATAGAAAATTTAATATAGACAGCTTAATAGAGCTCGTCGAGAGCTACCAACTCATGTAAAAATACCAAACAAAAACTTATTCGATTTTCGCATTACTAGGATCTTACTGAAAATCATAACAGCCATATCAGCTTGTCTTTTTCTATGTAGTTTTTGTCGTAATACTGAAGTTTGTTGTCTTTCTTGTATTTCATATTGAAAGATTATTCATTTCTAACATATACATACATATAGTACTCGAGCTCCGCTATCCGAAAGGAAAAAGACATATGAATCTATGTCGTGTGTTTTTGAAATGCAAACTAAAAACAAAAAAGTGGTGCGAAACTTTTGACGTCCACTGTACTTGACGAAGGAACTCTTATTATTAACAACTGGATGCAGTAAAAAAAATATTGACCATTGTACAAAAAAATTAATGCGCTGCTAAAAACTATCAATCTGGCGGAACGCAAAAAAAAGTGCTCGAGCTAGTCTTAGCCTACAAAGTGCAAATCTAAGGTAGAATTTGAACTATTGAAGCGTTGTAGATCGGCAGCCTATGCTTATTGGCACACAAGTTGGCAGTAGATAATATGTGTATTGACCTCGTAAGAATGCGTCATTCGTCAGAAGAAAATATCAATTAAACAGTAATAGAAATTTCTCATATTAAATAGTCTATCTGATCTTGTATCTATTCAATCTAGGGTAGGCTCGAGTCTACCCAAGCCTCGTGGCTTCGCCTTCCATGTACTAGTTTCCTAAATTCGCTGAAATTTATTGCTAATACAATGTTTAGTTAGCGTGTTATGTCCTAATGAAATTTGTACTTACCGTTTTATAATATTCGCTTATTCGAATTTGATCATGAGTAAAACTATTTTAGCTCTGGCTTTTTTAGATGCAGATATTTTATCCTCTAGATATTGAATAGAACTTGAATGAATATGTGATTAAACTATAAAAAAAAATTATGTCAATCACTTCAGAATTGCTGAGGAGCTATTCACTTAGCTTTTCGTACGAGCTTTTTGGAGCACCATATATTGAAGATATATCTATTTTATGCAATAGATTTTTTATTTTTAGGTGGACCTGTTTTGAAAGATCCTTTTTCATGGGGAAAAGTCGATATGGCAGGAATGGCTCGTTGTCTATTAGTTTTATGCAAACAAGTTTATTCAATTTTTATCAAAGAAGATCGATTATTACATCTTTCATCCGCTTGTTATATTCGTAAACAAAAGAAAAAAATAATCTTTTTTAATTGACATAAAGATATGAATAAGATTTCTTGCTTTTTTGTAGTGGGTGATTTACATGGAAACTTTCGTGATTTACTTTGTTTTGAAAAAACATTTTGGAGACTTGGACCTGTACTTACACCAGCATCTCTACTTTTCTTAGGTTAATTTTATAATTGATTTTTTAATAGAGATATATACTATTTTTAATATCCTAGGTGATTATGTTGATCGAGGACAAGAAGGTATTGAAGTTGTTGCTTATCTTTTTGCTCAAAAAGTTCTTTGTCCACATAAAGTTAATAATAATAATGTTTTATTATTGACTATACCTATAATTAAATTTTTATTATAGGTTTATCTTTTACGTGGTAATCATGAATTACGTAATGTTCAAGATATGTTTCAATTTCATGGTGAATGTCGTCGAAAGTTCGGTATAGATCTTGGTGAACAAGTGTGGGAAGAAATAAATCGATGTTTTGATGCAATGCCTATATGTAAATGGATCATTTTTTGTGTCAAATACACGACGAGTCCCAAAATTATTCGACCAGATTTATTTTCTATTTTTTCCTTCTTCGTGAATTCTAATAAGAACCCAATTAATGGTTTGCGTAGAGAATTTTATTTCCAACAAAAATCTTCAAAGATGAAAACGATTGATTGTTTTTCAAGGATAAGCTTTCTGAGAAGCCGAAACTCAAGTTTTTCGTTTCACGAAATTTGTTTGAATTATTCAGAACGATAGACCAAGCAACTCTATAAAATTAAATGTATTTCATTTCTCTACGACGTTTTTCGGCCGAGATACATTGATCTTAAGCAAAGCACAAAATCATGTTTCTATACACAATAACAGATGATGCACAACAGAACTTGAAATGGACCGGATGTGCTTAAATTTTTTTCATGGTGAACACTTTCTTTTTTAACGGAGATGTACCATGTTAAAAAATAGAAAAAAATCTGATTCCAATCGATTATAATTATACTAATTCAATAGAATGAAAGTCTGATTTTTCAACTTTGAAGATACATTCCATTTGGCTTCAATCTTTAGTAATTGTTTTTAGAAGAAGTAAAATCAAGTGAAATCTATCTTTCAAGTTGAAAAGTCCTATTTCAATCAGCAATAAACTAAAAAACCAATCGATTTTATTTCAATTTTTTTTGTCAAATTTCTTACAATGATTTGACATTTCGCAACTGATAACAATCAGGACTCTTTATTATATGAACTTTTCAGAAGTTTTTATATAATCAATAGATAAAACCAAAGCATTTATTCGGTTCAATAACATTTTTCTTCTACACATCGGTCCTAGTATACTGTCAACGATATTGAGTAGTGTAGGGTTTTTCTGAAGTAGAACAGTGTTAACTATGTACTAATATTAACAGCGTAGCTAAAAGTAGAAATTTATCTGACTCTTAGAAATCGATCGATAAGTGTTTTATTCACAAAAGCTTATGTTAATAAATGATAGTTTTCAAGAAGTTCGAGTATCTACGAAGGCATCTTGATCTTTTGGTATAATAAATAATTCGGTTTATGAGTCATACTGTTTTTTTTCAACATTTAGGATTTTTTGGACTTTGTTTAGAAATCTTTTTTTTTAAAGAAATATACGTTTAATACTATCATTCTAAGTTGGACCGGGTCATTAACAAGTGGTCCGATTTCTAAGTTTCGTGCATAAACAATGACCTCTGAGTGTATTTAGTAGGACATTCTATATGCACCATCCGTTAGTAGAAAAGACAACTGTCGTATTATCCGTCAAATTGATGTATATCGGCCAAAAAAAACATCACAGGCACTTGAAAGACATTTCATTTTGTAGAGAACTGTTTGCTTTATCAGTCTAGATTATTCAATCAGACTTGTTTGAGATGAAACACTTGAGTCTCAGTTTTTTAGTGTTTATGTCCTTGAAGAACTCTCAATTATTTTCATCTTCAAAAATTTTCGCTAAAAAAATAAAGTTCTCTACATAAATCACTATTTGAATTCTTGTTAAAATTTACGACAAGGACAAAAATAAAAAATAAATCTGGTCAAAAAATGTTGAGTAGCCATTGCATATATTTTTTAACATTGTTTGTTTTGTCACAGGTGCTCTTGTTGATAATCGTATTTTGTGTGTTCATGGTGGTATACCATCATTAGATATAAAAAGTGATTTTTTTAAATTAGTTTCGCAAATTCCATGTCCATTACGTGATCCTGAAAATGAATCACCACTTGCTTGGGAACTTTTATGGAACGATCCATTATCAAATGAAATGCGTGATTTAGATAATACAAATAATGATTTTATTTTAAATGTTCGTCGAGGAACAGGATATTTCTTTTCATCAAAAGCTTTAAACGATTTTCTTTATCAGAATTCATTATCTTATGTGGTACGTGCACATGAAGTTCAACAGCAAGGTTTTAAAGTAAATATTTCTTTTTAATATAAAGTTTTATTCTTATTTATACCATTTATTTTATAAAAAGGTTCAACTTAATGGTCGATTATTAACAGTCTTTTCATCTAGTCATTATTGTGGTGGTGAAAATGAAGCTGCGACAGTTCTATGTGATTCAAATAAACTTCGCCTCATTCGATTAGATACAAGCAGTTAATCAAATAACTTTCAAGATTTATATATCGCCGTGTGTACGTGTGTCTCTTGCATTGAATAGAATCTCAATATAAAATGAATGTATATGAATCAGTTAATTCTAACCATTTCCGATCAAACCCTTGATACTATTTTAAAAAAAGAAGTAGATAAAAAAAAGAATAACTCTCTCATATCCTGTATCTACCTTTTCTCTTCTTTTTTTTTCAAGATCGGAAACAAGTCTTCATACATAAATATTACACAGATGTATATATATATAAATGTATAAACATTTCCGTTATGTGAGAGAGAAAGGAAAGCAGAGAAGAAAAAGGTCCTACTGTTCAATAAAAAAGAAGGAAACGCTCGAAGCTAAGCTATTTATTCATTATGAAGAGAAAATAACATTTAGATCATTTAATGAAAATGAATGTAAGTAAAAGTTGACTTTGTTTTGTTATTATTGTTTTTTTTTTTACTAGAGAATAAGTTTTATATTGTACGTCCGAATGACATACTCATTCGATAGAGCTTATCAGTTGAGTCGACATACTAGTTTTCAAGAGATAGCAAATGGTCTTGTTTATTCAACTCGTCATAGGCAAATAATCCTTTCTTCTTTCCTTTGTCAGTTATCAGAGTTGAGAACATCTATGCACGCTTGAAATAAAAAAAACGATGTAGGCGATATGTCTGTTGTAGCGATGACAGTAGTATAGATAGTGTGTATTCAATTAATTGATCGATCATTGAAGAGCATCAACAGCAGAGTGTCTCGACTTAAGATATACACACATACTTGCATGTCAATTTAGAGAAAAAGAAAAACTTGATGACATTTATTTTGGACGTTTTCATGATATGATAGTTAACGCTCATTATAATCAATGAAAATTATTATACATATATTTAGGTAGTCATAGATACTATTGAAAAAAATTTATATTGTATCTGTATGTATATATTATATTATTAAAAATGAGAACGAGGTACTCACATAAATGACAATAGTAACAATTCTGTATTGAAATATTGACTGACATGATAATAATCATAACAATAAATATGCTCTCTTCTTATCCCCCTGATAAAAAAAAAAGAGAAATCCAACAAAACGACATATACTTGTCTAACGATTTTCTTTCTTTTATAAGTACATAATGACTAAAATATCTGATAGATGTTTCGCAACATCTGTCCGTGCATTTATCATAAATCATATTTGTCTGTATCGTTGACTGTGTACATTGAGCATAGTAATGTAATATGAAGAATTTATTTTTGTCAATCTTTTCAATTCGTTTTAATACTTGGTTTTGCTCTTCGAGTTTGTTTTTTTCTTTTATCCTTACTTCGAAAGTTACGAGACGATCCACCAAAACTCTAACCAATGACGACAGAGAAATAATGTTTGTCCTTAGAATTTGAATATTGCATTCGAACGTATATAAAAACATCTATTATGAAAATCCAAGTATTTGTCTATTTTGACTTTCTTATAAAAAAAGCGTAAAGATATCAATTCTTTAAATTTTCAGTCTATAGTGAAAAACAAGTCGTTTTTTCAATTCTCATCATTTTGTACTGGTCTCCTCGGTCGATTGACTGTTTGAGTATAGAACGTATTAGATAGTAAATGTTTGTTTCTTTCCACAAAACAAGTCTATTCTATTATTTTTTGTATAAGAAAATAATCACAATGGTGAAAAAAAGAATACAATTTCAGTCATCAATTTTGTTGTATCATAGACGAAATTCAAATCAAAGTAAGAGTTTGCTATCTGAAATTTTATTTATTGTAACTTTAACTATGGCATATATGTTCTTAAGGAGTTAATAAGACTTTTTCTTAGACAAGATCGAATATACTATGATTTCGTATCTTATATGTCACCTTACTTGACATGTAGATGACTTTCTCTAGAAGAATTATTATTTGAGTCAAAATTGAAAGCAAGTTCCATGTCAGTGCCGAACATCGGATCGATTTGTGTGTTTCTAAGGTTTCCGTACATTTAGTTTATGGTAAAATTCGTCCTGGATCAGATACAAAATCATAGTATATTCAATGATGTCTGAGGGAAAGTTTTATCGACTTCTTAAAAAGATAAATATGTGATGATTAAAACTACAATGTATAAAAGTATACATTGCAAGCTCTTACTTTGATTTAAGTTTCGTCTATGACACTAAAAATTGATGACTAAAATTGTATTCTTTTTTTCTTGATTGCGCTTTTTTTTGCATAAAAAGCAATAGAATAGACTTGTTTTGTAGAGAGAAAAAACATCTATTATCTGATATGTTCTGTATTAGAACAGTTAAACGACCGAAGATACAACTGCAAAACAATCAGAATCGAGAAAAAAATAACTTATTTTTGACTATAATTCGAAAGTTTGAAGAATTCCGATTCTCATGAGTTTTCATAGACAATTCAGAATTGGACTAATATTTAGATTTTCACAATAATTGTTTTATGCGCTGTCAAACACAATATATAAATTCACAATCTCAAACTATTCTGCCTTTGACTTCTGTTATTTGTGGTCAGCCTTCGAGCGAACTCTCTCTCTCTCTCTCTCTTTTTTAAACTTGTCAGGTAGAATTCACAACGTGTAGTTGAGTCAGTATTTACATTTCGATAAAACAAAGATATGCATGCCTTTCTATTTATTAAAATGTAGCACATGTCTCATTCTCATCCTTCTCTATGAAAGTAAATTATAGATAAGATCGTACCTAAATGACAGATGTGTCGTTTTAATGGAAAAAAAGAGAGAAAAATATGTATATGTGTGTCTATTATAGAAACATCATCGATCATGGTAGAGATGAAACCGGTCTGGATGTATGACGACCGATACCAGTTCTACCATTGATGATAGCATTATTTAACATAGTCATCTTTCAATAATCTTTTTATTACACATTTTTTTATGAGTTACTATTAGGTCTAATAGAAGTTTTGAATAAGTCTAGATAATAGAAGTAGAAAAGCAACAAAGATAGACTGGTAATGATTACTTGCAAGTCTATCAATATCTGTTTCATATCTGAATCATGAAACAAATCAATGATAAATATGTTTAATTCTATATAAATAGATATATGTCTAGCAAAGAGACTGAACAAGTACATCTACCAATGATCGTCGCTAACAATCACGATCCAATTGAAAGAGGAAACTTACTTGTTACAACAACAACAACATCAATAGTCGCAACAAAAACAAAATATAATCAAGTAATTGTAAGCGGTAATCGTGATAATTGGAGTAATCGTATTGTTTATCTACTATCAATTATTGGTTTTGTTGTTGATCTCGGTAGGTTTTTTATAAGAAATTTTTGAATTTAATATTGTGTTACTTATTCACAGGCAATGTTTGGCGTTTTCCAACAACTTGTTATAAAAATGGAGGTGGTGCGTTTCTCATTCCTTATTTTACTTTTTTATTTCTTGTCGGTCTTCCATGTAAGTTTATTCTTTTCTTAGAAATTTGAAATTTCTAATTTCTAAAAAAAAAGGTATGTATATGGAATTGGCTATTGGACAATACCATCGTCTCGGTTATATAACAATATGGGAAAAAGTTTGTCCACCATTAAAAGGTATTGGCTATGCAATGTTAATTATTAATTTCTATGTTTTATCGTATTATAATACAATAATTGCATGGTCCGTCCATTATTGTTTAGCATCATTTCGTACTATTGTACCATGGGCATATTGTAAAAATAGTTGGAATACAGAAAATTGTTATTCATTACATGATAAACAAACTCTTAATGTGTCCCATAATGGAACATGTTCAGCAGCTGATGAATATTTTGAACGACGTTTACTTAAATCTCATTTAGCACCAACTATTAATCAGATAGGTTCATTACAATGGGAACTAGTTGGATGTTCAATGATTGTTTTTCTTCTTATTTATTTATCAATATTTAAAGGTGTTAAAACAGCTGGTAAAGCAATATGGTTTACAGCATTAGCACCTTATGTTATACTTGCTATATTATTATTACGTTCATTAACACTTGATGGAATATTTGAAGGTTTAAAATATTATATTGAACCATCATTTAAACGTTTACGTGAATATTCTGTATGGCAAGCAGCAGCTGTACAAATATTTTTTAGTTTAGGACCTGGTTTTGGTGTTTTACTTAGTTATGCAAGTTTTAGTGATACACATGATAATGTATCTAGTACAGCATTAATTGCTAGTTTAGTTAATTGTGGTACTAGTTTTTTATATGGTACAGTTGTTTTTGCTGGTCTTGGATATTTATCACATCGTTTACATACTGATGTACAACAATTGACTCAAAGTAATACGGGTCTTGTATTTGTTATTTATCCTGAAATTTTAGCATCAATACATGGTGCACCAATTTTTTCCATTCTTTTTTTTGTTATGGTTTTTACATTGGGACTTGATAGTGTATTTGCCGGTGCCGAAAGTGTATATACAGCAATATCTGATGAATTTCCAATATTTGCTCGTTGTCCTCGTTTATCACGTGCATTGGTTATATTAATTCCATTTTTAGCATCCATACCAACATTAACACATGGTGGAAAACATATAGTTAATTTTATGGATTTTTTCGGTACATCACCATCAATTATGTTTGTTGTTCTATGTGAACTCATTGCAATTGTATGGTTATATGGAATTGATAAATTTAGTAATAATGTTGAAATGATGACTGGACATAAACCAAGTATTTATTGGCGTATTACTTGTCGTTATATTGCACCATTGATTCTTTTTATTCTATATGTATGTTCATTTATTCAATTTGATAGTCAAGAATTTTCTTCACTTGGGGATCGAAAAACAGTAATCAAAGTAAGTATTGCTGGATGGACAATGAGTACAATATCAACATTACCTATACCGTTATATGCAATTTGGTGGTTGTTATGTCGACGTGACAAGAATAGTACTCAACAAGCAACAACAACAACAAGAACGACAACTGTTGTAGAAACAATACCAATGCAAAA